TTGATTTGGATGGCACAGAACCAATATAAGAGGAACATCCCATTTTGATGGGCTTGAGTCTATAAAGATAAAGTTCATTATTTTACATACAAAAGCTGAAAATCATTCTAAAAAAATAGAAGAGTATAGGATAAAGCCCCCCCACCCCCGTACCGTATAGAAATTATGGTAATTGTTACCGATAGTGACACTCACTCCCAAAAACCAAGTAAAAAAAAAAATGTTTTTCTGCAAGAAATCCAATGATTTCATAGATTCTTGGCATTGTTTCTTCTGCAAATGAATCCTTGAGGAGATTGAGTACTGTTTTTCCATTGACAATCTTGATTTGAAAGTCCCGATAGCAGGGGTGGGCATAAAGTATATTAGGGAAATTATGAGGTAAAACAGGCTTAGATAAGAAAAATTAAGAACAAAAATGTGTAAAACCAGAAAAAAAAAAGTTTAAAATCTGCCATCTTTGAAATTCTAAGGACATGCACCAAGATTCAAAAACTTTACGGGACCCCAACTCACCTTCTGGCAAAATCTGCTAGAATTCACACGTTTCAAACCCCTCAAAAAATGTACTAAACAATAAACCAACATAATCTAACAATTATTTGCCGTGACTAGAAATGTCAAACTTTCGTTTGCTTCTTTCTACTGTCTAGATTGCTTAAATTTTAATCCTTTTTTTGGTATTGGGGCACTTGATGGGCTCAGGTATTAAACTGGGATGGTTATTAAAGTATTTCTTCTTCATAGCCACTGTCAAGTCTTAAGAATAACCCAGAATCAATACAACACTGGAAACGCAACATTTCTCCCCAGTGACCTGTCACAGAGTGACCAGCTACAAACTGTCAAACCTCATGGCTGGTGACTGAATGTGTGAAATGCCCAATGTGTATATAATTTTAAACAAGTGTATAGATAAGTCTTAAAACATGTAAATGAAGTATAATAACATTAATAAAAGAGTTTGAAAGTATAAGTGTGTAACTGATAATTAGCCAAATATTGTTTTGACAAGTGCATAGTAATACATGAACTACTTTGGACATCGCAGTAATGAGTTACGCAGTCAGTGTTGTGTTATTGTGGTAAGATATACAAGATGAGCCACTTAGAATCTGAGTGGTGATATGCAGGATATGTTTTCGTCATTTAGCAGTAACTATGAGGCCGATGCAGCTTTAACTATGTTTTATCCCATTCTATTTTTTCCGGTCTATATGATGGCAGTGTCCATTTCCCTCTATCTCCGAGCATCACTATAAGTAACTTATACCAAAAATACTAAGTCCTGGTTTTTGGTCACTTGAACCTAAGATTCCCTCAAATTCTTCCTCATACAAATAATTAAACTCACAGGCTAACTATGTTAAGGCTGCACAACTAAGATTAGATATTAATGAGCTCTAAACATTTTGACAATTATTTCAACAAAGTTTTTATTTATTGAGAGAAGTAATTTTCTCTATTCAAGTTGTCTTTATTTCCAATTGTAAGATCTCTTCCCTATCTTTCCAGCCTTGACCCACGATGATTCAGGTGGGCATGTTCAGCACACCACCCCCGCCTATACCCCAGGGGAAGCCCCCACCACCACCAATGGGGGGTGGGGGGGCACAGTTCCAGCCACTATCTTTCAAGCCATTTAAGGCCCCAGATGGAGAGTTTGATGGCAAAAGGCTGCGCAAGAGTGTCATGCGTAAGACAGTTGACTACAACTGCTCTGTGGTGAATATGCTGGAGTGCCGTGTCTGGCAGAGGGATGAACGTGACCGGAGTTGTCTGCAGGCAGA